GTTATATTTTTAGTTAAAGATCAAAATTGATTTATATGTCATCAGATTTTGTGGTCAAGCATTTTATGGAAGTTTTGATGTTAGTGCTACTTGCTGAAGGAGAAACATCCGGGAGTTGGTGGGCATTTCTAATTCTTCAGAGTAAAACTTCATTGAGCAATAAACCCCTATTTTGGAATTTATGGTCATTTAGGAGCAATTTTATTTTCCAGTGTTTGTGAAGGCAATGATTGCAGGCAAATACATAAAAGGTATTTTTGACTAGCATAAGGGAAAAATATTTGATAAAATTAAACTGCTCTAGGAATATTCATTAGCACATAAAAATAAAGGTACATTCATATATGTTTTATGGGGAGGTTATTTTAAAATGGTTCTTACTTGTATATTACAGTGCATCCAGGAAGCCATATACTTGATAATACTTTACTAGTAATTGGTAAGTTTGTGCTCTTGTATCATCCCCATCAACTTTATTCCACCACCACCACTGGGCTGTGCAAACCAGAAATGCATGAGCCATCCTTGAATTCTTCCCTCTCAGCCCCCCCATCCCATCTGTCACAAAGGCTAGCCAGTTATCCCACATAACTCCAGCCACTTCTCTCCATCTTCAGTCTCTATCCTAATTCAGACCAAAATCACCTCTCACCTGGACTCCTGCAATAACAGATCCCCTACAGCCATTACTTCTTCCTCCAGGGTGATTCACACTCATCTTGCCACTCCTCTACAATAGATCCATGGTCCCAAATTACTTCTGCTCAGCTTTCTAACCACATCACCCTTAGAGCTCACTGACCCTTGTCCCCTCGTCTTACTGCCCTCCCTTCATTCTTCATCATGCTCTCCTCTCTTGGCCCAGGATATTTGCACATACTTACTGTATTTCTTCTTCCTGGAATATTCTTCCCTCAACTCTTCATCAGGCTTACCCATCTTTCAAATCTGAATTGAAGAATCACTTCATGAGGCACACTTCATCCAAATCCTCAAACTGAGTTATTGGCACCAATTATGGATTCCTACTATCCTATTTTTCCCACTTCACAATACACGCTCCATCTTTATTATGTCGACAATGGTTCCTTCCCACTCTGGAGTGTAAGCTCCAAGTAGATAAGGACCACATCTGTCTTTTCAACACAACACCCGTGTGCTTATAGAAAATGTTTGATATAGAGTAGGAGCCCACCATATATTTACTAAATAAATGAATGACTATTATAGTGAAGATTAATAGCACGTGGCTAGTGATGGCTTTTAGTCAGCATGTATATACTTCATATTCAGAGATGACTTTGAATAATGATCTCTTAAGGGTGCTTACCTTTTGCCTTCTCATTGTATTTCTGGGATCACGGAGGATGTTCTCTAACAATGGACCCTCCCTTTGCACATCACTCTTCCAATGTTCACAGCCCTAGGCAGTATTGTCAGCAAAGTCTTCCAGAGAGATGTCTTCGTCTTTATTCGGCTTTTCAATAAGGATCCACTTTAGGTATAAGTTGAAATCAGGTTTCATAACTAGTAGGGTTATCTCTTTAATTACATTAGTTACAACTACCGGTAAGAGATATCCCAGAGATGTTACCACACCAAGAACATAAATAACCTTTTATCTTTTTTCCTTTTGATTACTGCTGGATCTTGACTATATTTTCTTCTTAACCTTCCATTAATTCCCTTGAAATACATGCTCCTCTCTTCTCAGGCTTAATCTATGATAAATGTACCAAATTTTTGTCCACTCAGTCTTTATAGATGAATGCTACTAAGCTTTGTTTGCTTTCCTGTCCATTCATTACACCTCATTCATTAAAATTTGCCAATCTTATTAATCACATGCCGAATGCTACGTATGTATTTGTCATTCTACAATAATCAAACGGAGAAGGTACTATTATTATTTTCATTTTCATGGAAGCGGAAACTAAGGTTTGGAGAGGGTAAGGGACCTGCCCAAGTCACAAAGGTTACTAAGTATTTGAGCTGAAATTTGAACCCAGAGTAGGCCTCTAGCTCCCGGGCCACCATCATTTTCAGTGGATGACAGTATTTGTGCTTTTGTTCTGTTTACTGAGTTCTAGTCTTTAGCCTAAACTGATGTGAGCCTAAGTCGGAGGGGCAGGCAGTGTGGAAGGTGCCCTGTGGATAATCAGGGGTCAGAAGGAAAACCCTGTTTTGAGGTGTTGTCTAGAGAAAGAGAGTTTTAGGGTTTCACCTTGGTTTGCCTGGGGTTCAGGAACCCTCTGGGTGTAATGTCAACAATCTGAACTTTGTTTTCCCTCCTACATAGCAGTTTGTGTAAAAGATTCCCCTTGTTATAAGAAGGGGAAAGTGGAAAATGGGTCGTTTTTCTCCGCCATTGGTATACATTTTGATTTCTGTAAGTCTCAACCCAAGTAATTACAGAATTACAGATAGGAGAGCTACAGATTTCAATTCTCTTCCCTGGGCCTGGGGATTGGAGGGTGGGGGGTGGGGTGGTGGTGGTGGTGGTGGTGGTGGTGGTGGTGGTGTGTGTGTGTGTATCTTTGGATGGACTACTATGAGCCTGGCAGCCCTGTAAGAACCCTGGGCGGGAGATCTGCACTGTTCACGGTGCTGTTTTACCTGCCTCTAAGGCAGAAACTCCCTTAATCTGTGAAGGCACAGGGCTCTCCCTTCCTACTCCCCTTCCAGCCCTGGGGAGCTGTAGGCTTCCTGCCTCCCAGCATCCATGCTTCCCTCTGAGTCATCCCCTAAACTGCCCAGAGTGGGCCTCTGATCTAGGCAACAATAAGGACGTCAAGAAGTAAATGGGTCAAGTGCAGCTCCGACCAGGACCTTGAGGGGTCCTCGGTGCTGTGGAGACTGCGAGCCAGCCGAGCAACCACGGCTCACTACCGACTATTCCAGCTGTGGGCATCCCCTTCTCTCCCCCACACCAGCGGGCCAGCCTGGTGCGGGGAGCGCCTCGCCGTCCCTCCCCCCGCCCCCCCCCCCCGCCCGCGTTCCTCCTGTGGCCACCAAGGGCTCCCGAGCCTAGGGAGTTCTGCCGCAGCGACCCGCCAGCAGTGGGCAAGGTGGGGGACCTGGGAGTCAAGGCTGTCTGGTTAGGGAAGCAGGTGTTGGAGTCCAATCCTGGTTCCACTTCTAGCCACCGGGTGATCTTGGGCAAGTTACTGAGCTTCCATGGGCCACTTTTTAAATCCATAACATGGGGAAACTAAGGTGATAGCTAATCTAGGATAATTGTAGACATTAATTAATGAAGCACTCCTGGCACATAGTAGGCGCTCAGCTAATGGTAAAGATGGTTGTTAGGAGGAGTTCGAAGTTAAGCTTTGGTGTCCAGCATGTAGGTTAGACCTAAGACTCCTAAAGGTATGCACCCAGGGGAGGGGGAGGGGGTAGCGGGAGCAGCTTCCAGGATAATCCCGGAGGGCCATTCCTCCAGGCTCCTTCAGAAGGTCGGGATGCCCCGAGCCTGGGGGCACCTCGGGGCGTCAGTGGCACGTCTCTCCACCTAGGGCTGCGGAAAGACTCCTTCCACGAATTGAGTGTCTCCCTCCCGCTCCAGCCCCCGAGCGCGCTCCCCGTCTCCTCGGGGTCTCGGCGGCCGAGGCTTGCCCGATCCGGTCTCAGGCGGAAACGAAGAGGCAGCTTCGGGGAGTGCCAGTCCCTCCCTGCCCCTGGAGAGGGAGAGAAGGCGAGTGTAGTGCTGAGCGCTGGAGATCGCGGTGCCCCGGGCGGCCCCGGAGCCCCTCCCCATTGTGCCTGCCTTCTAGGGACCACTCTGGCTTTGGGCACAGCCCCGGAACAGCCGGTGTCCCCGCCCGCCCCTTCCCGTCCCCTCCCGTCCCCTCCCTTCCCCTGCCCTCCCGGCTGGGGCGCCCGCGGCGGGAGTGGGCGGCAGCGCGGCCCCGCGAGGTGAGGAGGGGCGGGCGCGCCCGGGGAGTGAGCCTGCACGTGCGCGCGTGTGCGCGTGCCCCGGGGGGGGGGCGCGTGGGGCCCGCGGGGCGCATCCAGCTCCGCCACCTGCCCTCCCGGTCCCGCCCGAACCCCCTCGCACCCTGGTTCGGGTGCTGCCTCTTTCCATGCCCTACCCCCCGCCACCTTCAAACCCCACTCTCCCTGCTAAGAGTCCCCCACTGCAGAGTCAGCCTGAAACCTGGAGAGGCAGCGCTGCCTTCTCTCCCTTCGCCCCCCCCCCCCCTTCTGCTATAAATAATCCCGACTAGCGGGTCAGCCACGTCACACCGGGAGGAACCGGGACCCCGAGGGTTTCTTCTCAGGGAATAGGGGGCAAAGGGTGAGGAGCAGGATAAAGAAATCGCTCGTGAGTAGTGAAGAAAAGCTTGCTCCTTGACTCCTAGGGGAAAATAGGCGGCATTTTATTCTTCTCTTTCTCTGGCTTCCTTTTTTATTGTTCCGTGTCTTTTTTATTCTCTACTCCTCCCTCCCCCCCCCCCCGCCCTAAATCCAAAGGATTGCTCAACACTCCTCCCATTGGTTTTTTTTCTCCCTCCCCCTTCCACTCCTGCTCCCACCACCTTGCCCTCCCCCCACCGCACCACCCCCACCTCCACTATCCTCTCGCCCCAGGCAGGGGATGCTCTTCGCCATGGAAATAAAGTTCAAACTCCTCTCCCCATCTGCTTGCTGAGACCAGAAGTGGTCTCCCAGGAACCCGTTTTCCGCTCGCACTCCACACCTGCTCTCGCCTAAATTTCTAATCTGGTTTTGCATATTTAAGAGGACACACACACACACACACACACACACACACACACACACAACCTACAACCCGCGAGGTGCAAAACTGCCTCCTGCAACTACCGAAACTTACCAGCCGCTCTAGTTGTTTTTGTCTTAACGGGAGGACAACAAAGATTTTTACTCCTGGTCCTCTTGCGGGGTGATTTTTTTATAGTATTCAAATATGTATATAGTATGCATATGTATGTTTTTCCTTTTTCCCCTTTAATTTATTTTTATTTATTTTTCTTAGCAAGAAAATCTGCTAGGTCCCAGGCAGCCGCCGCTGCCCCTTTGATGTTTTGGTACGCCGTGCGCATGCGCCTCACATTAGAATTACTGCACTGGGCAGACTAAGTTGGATCTCCTCTCTTCAGTGAAGCCCTCAATCCCATCAAAAACTAAAGGGATGTGGAGAGTTCGGAAAAAAGGCTGCTTTGGGATCTGGCCATTCCCCTTGCTAATCGCCGCTGTCTGTGCGCAGAGGTAAGTGTGCCTAAGGCTTCCGTTTTCCCTTTTACACTTTGAAGGGCTCTGCATACCTCGGTGAACCGGGATCGTGGGGAGGATCAGATAGACGCTAAGGACGCCGTGCCTGCTGCCTGACTGATGCCTACTTATTGTCTTTTCTTTCTTTAGTGTCAATGATCCTAGTAACATGTCACTGGTTAAAGAGACGGTGGATAGACTCCTGAAAGGCTATGACATTCGTCTGAGACCAGATTTTGGAGGTAATGGGGTTGCCGTGGAAATAAGAAACAACCCAGCTATAGCCTCCTAAGCTGTCATTTGAGCGTTGTGCTGGCTGTCTCTTCCCTCTCCCTCATCATGGTGAATGGAATGTGTCTCAGTGTTACCATATTGAGACACTGACCCAAACTTAAACCGGTTGGTTACTAGGTGGTCGTTCAGTGAGAGAGACCCTCCTAGCATGTATTGGTGCTTGCTGTCCTTGGGCTTCACAGTTATAAATCCTTTGCTTCACTGCCATTGCCTCGTTCAGTTACAAACCTCAAGTTTAGTTAATGGTGTGCCCAGAGAACCTGGCTTAGTGAAGGCTGCGGTGAACATTTTGGAGGACAAGAAGTGCAGACAATTGGTTAAGAAGTGGCATTAACCCCCTGTGCCCGCCTACTTTGGAAGAGTTCTGACCACCGTTTAAAGTGCCTGGTGTCTGGATATTATCCAGTCCTGGGAGCCTCACTGCAGGGGCAGTGGAATGGGGGGGGGGGGGGGTGGGAGGGGGGACTTGAGGAGCTTGGAGGGGAAGCAGGGAGAAGGGTCAGAGACCTCTTTCACTGCAGCCTGAGAAACCTTGATATGCCCATTTAATTTTGCTTCAGAGTCTTATGAAGCTCAGAGAGTTAAAACCTGCACACAAAAGCTGTGGGGGTGAATGAGGAGGAGGGTTTCAAGGCAATATATAAAATTCCCTTGGGCTGGAATGTTCCTGTGCTTCTGTGAGTTGTGTGTGTGCTCCTGCTGAGGCATCTACATGTGTAGACAGAGCTGGAATCCCTCATCCCTCAGGACACGTGTGTGCCTGTTCAATACAGCATTTCCTAGAGGAGCTCCTGCCACCCTTTTAGAAAAGAAGCAGGACTTGAAGGGTTTGAGGGTGAGCCGTGGGGAGGGACTTGAGGCAGAGTGTCCCATGCCCAGGGACAACTCTTGCTAAGAATGAATGAAGCTCTGAGAAATCACGTGGCTGGCCCTCTTGGTTTGCAGGTCCCCCCGTGGCCGTGGGAATGAATATTGACATTGCCAGCATCGATATGGTTTCCGAAGTCAATATGGTGAGTACTGAGGTGTATGACCGTGTCTCCTCAGACATTCATTGGGGACAGGGGGCAGAAAGGAGCCAGGGTGTGTGTGGCTATGTGTGTGAAGCGGGGGCAAGGACGGGATTTTTGCTTTGCAACCCCATGTGTTTGTAGTTTCTGGGCCAGCTCTTTCTGGTCCCTCCAGATTTTCCCAACTTGGTTCAACTACTTGGGACTTGGCATAAAGCAAGTAAAATGCATCACACGTTCACATGCAAAATGCAGCCATTTGCAGGAGACCTCTGCAGAAGCCACATTCCCTAAGGTCCTATTAGAAACCACGTTCATCAAATAAATTTCTGGGTTTGGGGTGGGGTTGGCGGAAGAGGGGAAGGTTTTGATTTAACATGTAAAAGAGAATATTACCTACAAATTAAACTGTTGCAAAGAGGCTGAATAAATTCCCCAGGCAATATTCACATCCACTTGTTGCTTTCAGAGATAGTCTCTCTCTTTACTACTGAGGGCAAGCCCCCCTCCAGCTCCTTTAAGCCTCCCGATCACCAAAATAAATAAAATAAAAATCGGTCATCCTCGTGACCCATGTGTCATCTGCAGTCATTTCTGCAATGTAATTCTCCTGATGTCCTAAGCTTGTACAATTTACTGATAACAGCACTCTTTTGTGGCTACCTCCTTGGACTTGGGGCAAGTGTTAACAGAAGAAGGATGGGTGTTCCAGACTGGGAAACACTTGTGGGGGGGTTAGCCTCATGCAGGTCCGCCCCCTGCTGCCCATGTTGGGGCACTGCAGATACACAAGACAGACAAGTGTCCCAGATACCCCCACTTACTTTGGAGTTTTCTACTCCGTGTTTTGAAGTTTTCCCCTTCAAAAGTTTCTCCAAGAAGGGCACATGTGAGCGTCAGATTGCAGTCTTACTTTCAATTCTGATAGCACAAAGCACATTTCTCAGAAGACTGTGTGGTGGCGCGGTTCTGCCTAGAAATGGAATGCACTGTTGAAGAGAATGTTGCACCCGAGGTTTAATGCAAACACTTCTAAGCCAGCCAGCAGGATTTGAAATTTAGAACACATCAACTAATCAGCAGTTCTCAACCTGTGGGTCGCAAACAATGAAAATACATCCTGCATATCAGATATTTACGTTACGATTCATAACAGTAGCAAAATTACAGTTATGAAGTAGCAACAAAAGTAATTTTATGGTTGGGGGTCACCACAACATGAGGAACTGTATTAAAGGGTCGCGGCATTAGGAAGGTTGAGAACCACTGAACTAGATCCAAAGTTCTCTGTAGCGGTCATGCTTCCCACATTACACTAGTTTTCATAGTCCCAGAATTCAAATAAATAGGAAGCTCAAGTAGCCATCCTCGTTCCCCTGTACACTGTCCAAAGATAGGTGATCACCCTGCGGTATTAAAAGATTCTGAAACAGCTTATGACTGCTGGGGGGAATATTCAACTCCAGTGTGTCCCCAAAAATGTATACACACACTGAATAATTATAAAGGCAGTGTTTATTAAAATACATTTCATTTTTAAAACTGACACCCTGTATTAAGGACATGCATCTTCTTATTTTCTAATTATTTGGCAAGATTTGACCCTGTAGGACATAAACACAGACTTAAGGCAATCTTGAATGATTCAGAAACTCAGATTTCCCACACCTTTTGTAAGTCTCATGTGGGTAGAGAATGCTTGTTTCTTAGGAAACTAATTTTTCAGATATATAAATGTCCACTTTTGTGGGACTTTAGAGGTCTTTCATCACTGTATATTTTGAGTTTTACCATAAAAAATTAAAAATGTCCTAATGTCGGTGCTTCCTTAATCCCAGGTACTTGAATCTAAATTTTGTTGCTAAAACAAAGTAATATAAAAATTAAGTCTGGTTCATTGTGACTGAATTAGAGTCCTCTCTTTTGCATTTTGATTTATTTATGCTCTTTTCTCCTCCCAAATTTATTTTACCACCTTCCCCTTTATAGGGTCACAAGCACAGGAATTTATGGAAAAAAATAAGAAATATTTAAAATCCAGAGATAGTGGTGGCATAAGTAGAAGTTGCTACAATAGATTAAGAACTTAGATGTATTATATCCCAAATTGTTTGGTACAGGGTTTTTCTTTTTTTTTCTTGTTAAGTTTTGTTCATTTATTTTACCTGTATGCAGCATTTTGGGGAGGTATCTGAATTGGACACAATGCCAAGACCTGCTAGTCAAAATATAGACCCAGCCAAGGCGAGGTGTCATCTTTGAAAGTTATTTACTGTTGCTGAAAAATCATGGGATGCTGAAAGTGTAAAGACAAATGTCAGGTTGTAAATAGGACAGCGGTGCAGCATTAATGACTAGAACCCAGTGTTAAAACCCCTGCCTGACCCTTTCTTAGCCCGGTGCTTACACGCGGACTTGTCCAGACACATTCTGACTTGTAAAATCAACTTATTTCAGCTCGCAGTCGTACTGACCTTACATCACTCCTCCAAAGAAACATTTTGTGATGTATGCTAGTTTATGTAAACATGGTTATTTGATTCGAAGCAGCAGATGGAAAAGTCCATAGCTGGTGTCTCAATAAAATAAGATGTGTGTGGCATTCTGCCTCCTGTGTACAGGTCTATAAGGATTAGGGTGTTTTGTTTTTTTTATTAGATTCAGTTCTGGAAGAATGGTTGATTGATTAAGTGAAACCTCAAAATTGATTAACACCCATGTTTCTGCCTTATCATCCTTTGTGGCCTGCAACCTCTGGTGATTGTAACTTGCTTTTATTTTAGCAAATCTCCCTTTGAAGAATGGTGGGCACTAGAGTCTATTCACATTGATATTGACTCATTTGTACCAAAAGGAAAAGGTCTGTGTCCTTGTGGCGATCCTGGCAGATGACAATGCTAGAAACACCCTGACCTGAGCCAGGAGTCTTGGCTGCTAGCTCTGCTTCTGCGGTTCCGTCACCCTGAGAGAGTGACTCACCTGTTAAAGGGGACTAGTAGTCCCGTTTTACCTATCTCTGGTGACCACCAGAATTAATGAAAGGATGTATGTGGAAGGTATTGGTGTTCTGTGAGGGGAGCCTATATAGAAGATTTAACACCCGGCTATCACTCAAGAGGCCCAGTGTCCACTTCAGCTGCTACCCTAAGTGAGGTTGGGTCAGGAATGTACCTCACCGTGTCTCAGTTTCCTCATGCTTGAAATGACAGAGGACATGTTAACTTGATTTCCAACTCAAGGTAACACGTGACTCTGGTCTGGTTTATTAATATAGCTCTGTTGGGTACGAAGAAGTTCTAGGAAAATCAGCACAGACTAAGGAAAATGCAGAAAACCTAAATGACATGCAGTCCCGAGTTCTTACTCAGGAGGGTGACGATGGCATCTTACGCGGCCATGTGAGTCAGGCTGGCTCAATGGAAGATCTTTGGAGGAACGTGGCATCAGTTAGAATGTTCCTGAGCAGAGCGCTTGGCTTTCGAGTGACATATTTTTAGATGTCTTGGTTAAACTGGCAAGAATCTTTTTGTTAAGATTCTTGATGAAAAGTGCATTTTAAGATCCAAAATTGGCTCTGGGGATTAGGGACTGAAATAGCTTTCTCTTCATTTAAAGCAGATCCTTCCCTGTCTTGAAACAACACATTTGCCATCCAGAGAGGGAAGCAATATTTCACTTTTGAGGAAAGAGTTCTAGTAAACACAAACACAAATTACCTTTTTATGGGATGGCAAGTGGAGAAAAGCACTGGCTTACAGACACAACAAAACAAAAAACCCCAGATGTTTTCTTTTCCAGCTGCAAAGTTTAAAATTCACTAAAGCACAAATACTTATTTAGTGGCTACTGTGATCCTGCCATGTGTTTGGCTTAGGAGCAGAGCAGTGAACAAGGCCAACTGTCCCCTCCCCTCATGAAACTTAATATATAGGCGTTCACTATTAATAATCCTGCAGGCTTCTACAGTACTTATTCTCACTGTAAGTCTTATCTTCTCCCTAGAACTTTCTCTGAACATCCAGTGAGTACCTCATGGTCTGTGTCTCCCATAGGTTTCTTTGTGACTTATTGACTCCTACATCATTCATTTGTTATTTGATGGTTCAAGTTGCTTTATATTTACATATTTATTCTACCCTAATTTATATTTATGAAATACACGAAGACAAGGTTATTCTGTCTCCCCCTGTGGTTTTGACTATATAATGGTTGGTTGGATGTTTGTCTCCTGGTGAATGCCACAAATATTGGGTGAAGTATTTGTTTTTAAGGTAGCGATTTGTTATTATTCACTAGATATTAGACCATATATGTGGAGATAACCAACTTGCTGTTTATACCAACAAGTGTTGAAAGAATCACAATGTAGGGTCATCAGGGCTTTGAAAGATGGAATATTGAGAATATGGAGCACTGAGGTATTACACAGAAATTAGGTAAGTGAAGACAGGAGGTACAGGTCTCTGGATATATGTTCCATGCATAAAGGTGGCATAGAGGAGAATAAGACACAGGAAAAATATGGATTTTCATGTAACTTAAAAATGGCTGGAGTTGGGAGTAGCTGTGAAGAGGTGTGATGTTGGTATTGAAATCGGAGGTGGTGATCGGATTATGAATACCATTTTTGTGGCTTGCTGAGGAGTTTAATTTTTATTCCCAAGGCTGTAGGGACCCAGGAAAGGGTATCCATAGGAGAATCGCAGGAACAGATTCATACTTCAGGGTGAATTGAAGTGGAACAAGGCCTAAAGTTGGGAGATGAGATGGAAACCCAATGCAAAAATCCAGGAACGATTGATGAATTAACACAGGGGTGTAAAGGAGATACAAAATCATGGCATTTATAAGGTAGAAGTAACAGGACTTGGTGAATCCCAGGTTTCTCATGGTGTCATTTATTGACACATAGAACAGGAAGAGCAACCTGATTAAGAAGGTAGGGGTGGGAAGTCTGGGAAATGTTGACTTTTCTACACACGTGGAATCTCTGAGTAGAGATA